ACACGCCGAGCTCAAAAGGTTTGCCATCACTGATCTAAACAGTAAAATAGTTTAAATAAAATAATGAAAAGAGGAATGAAACCTATAATTACATAATAAAGAACATGAACAAACTACAGACGAACTTGGAAAAGGACCAAAGATGCTTAAGTGAAAATAATTGAAATGGATTTCCAGTGAGTAGGTTGATCACAGAGTAGAAACACACTGCAAGTAATATGTAGCTGGAACACACATGGAGCAGCATTAAGAAACTTGGAAGCACAACACATATCAAGCAAGAAAAATAAAATAAATTCATACTGAGACATACCACGGCAACAGCAGAATAACCAAAGGAAATCTCTTAGGTACAAGCAGAGAGAAAAGTCAGATTAACTCCAAAGACCAGTGAGTAGCAACACAATTCCCCTTAGCAACAAAAAGGGGCAGAAAATAATGAAATAATGTTTTGCAACTAAGTTATAATTACCCAACCCCTGGACTGTTATATAATTATTCAAGAAAATAATCAAAGTAAAGACATTTTTAGACAAAGACCGAGGGAATTCATCATTCAAAGGCCGTCCCTGAAGTATCCACTCAAGAACATATTTCAGTCAAAAGAAAACAATCTGGAAGGGAAGGGAGATACCAAAGTAGCAATGCAGACGAACTGGTAGCATGTTCTAGGTCTGTGCCGGGATTGCTAATATAAATTAAAACCTATTGGAGGAAGTTAAATACAAAGCAGACCCAAATTACAATACAAAAACGTAGAATTCGATCATTGGGAAAATCTATCCAGATACAAACCATCAAATTTACTTGATTTTACAGGTGAGTTTTGCAACCTTCCCAGGAACAAATACATTTATATAAAAGGTATTTTGTATACATCTTAGGGCTTCAAGACACGTGAAAGAATTCTGCAAAAAATAAATAAAGCATCCCATTAGTGATAAATAATAGTGTAATTGTTAAAGTTGATATAAAAAGTAACATTTTGGTGTGAAATCTTATTTTATAATAATAATATGCTATTATTTGAAAAGGTACAAAACGATTCCTGTGGTAGAGCACAGTGATAAAATTCTAAAGAAAGCACCTGACTTGGTCCTTGGAAAGAGCCGGAAGCGGCGGAGCTGTCCTGCAGACAGAAAGGGGAGCATGGCCAGCCCAAGAGGGAGGCTGGGCAGGAGGGTCCACAGGAAGCAGCGTGTGGCGTGCCCACAGGAACACCAGACTTCAAAGTGAGATGTGGGTCAAATAATAGGGGAGACCATGAGCTTGCTCTCACCAACCAGCTGGCGAGCTCAGGAAAACCAAATCTGACAACGAGAAACAGGTAAAGGACAAGGATCGTTCTTTTGTTTTCTTCACAGATCAAGGTCTGGGTAAGTTAGGCAGGTGTTATCTAAGGAAACTGGTTTCATATTTCAAATTCAGGACAGCAGGGAGCCCAGAGGAGAAACCGTCATGGACCAAATTGTTTTGTCATTCCTCAAAATAATAATACAAGTTTATCTGATTTTTAAGACAACGGGATGGAAGGAAGTGGAAAATGCTGCATCCTAAGGACAAAGGAAGTGAAAAGGGCAGGATGGGGCCTGACACCTGGGAGAGAAGTGAGGGGTATGGGGGCCCTGAGGACAAGGAAGGGGCCTCTGGCTGGGAGCCAGAGCCCTGAGCCCTGGGGCGGGGGGGTAGCAGGGGAGGATGCAGGCCTGTCCCACTCAGGACGGATCCACTGCCCACTGCACAGGAGACAGCAGAGGGGCCAGCCTCGCACTCCAGACAATGTTTCTCTTCTGAATTCTTGGCCCCTATTTTCTGGGCTGTAGACTCCACCCCATGTATAGGACTGACCAAGCAAAGTGGGCATTTTTACTGTTAAAAAACCCCAACTTACTCAAAAGACAAACATTTAAAATGAAAGAACATGTGTGAGGATTGAGCGAAGAACAGATTGGGAGATGTTTCTTGCCAAAATTTTAAAAACTTTTCAAAGCTGTACTAAATTTTCTATGTTCTTTTATTTATGTGACCTACTTCATATATACATACACACCCTCATCACCCTCGTCCTCATCATTTTAGGAAGCTTTATTACTACAGAATTTTTTTAACCAAATAATTAGAAAGTTAATTTTCCCTAATAAGCAGGCAAAGCAATGAAAAGTTGACTCATTTAACATTTCTGATTGTAATTTTTCTAGGTTTCTATTGTGTTACAAACTAGAAAACTATTCTGAACTCACCATCAGGCATGATTTTTTATTTTAATTTTCAGTTACAGTTGACATAACGTAATATCTTAGCTTCATGTGTACAACATAGTGCTTTGACCCTCCTACAAATGTCATTAGAAGCCTCCCTCTGGGGCAACCTGTTTAACCTGGTTCAGATTAATCACCGGTAATATTTCTCCAGGATCTCTGTGGCAGGTAAGTTCAGGTACACCAGGCACATGGCATAAAAGTGCCACAAATAGAAACCATGGCATTTTGCATGAGTTAATATTCCTGTTATCTCATAGCCTCATGTCCCTCTGCACAGCTCAATTTATCATCCTCCCCAAATATGAGCAAATTAAGACATATAAATGACCCAAAATAATAGGTGTTTTTTTTTCATTGCAACAGTTAAAATAAAAATTGAATGACTACTTAATGGGCCAGGGAAAGTGTCCCATAGTCTAGGGGGCACCCCCGGGTCTCCCAGGAACAGAGCAGTGGCAGCAGCAGGACTACACATGGGGAGAGTCTAGACAAGACCCCAAGGACAGCTCTGGGGGCCAAAACCCACTTTCTGCTCTGAGAGCTCTCCACTGCCCCTAGCCCTGGCGGTCTGCACTCAGGCTCCTCTTTGCTGAGATCCTCCTGGCCTGGCCGGGAGATGGGAGCATCTGTCCTTGCTTCCAACTCTGTGCCACCCAGATGCAGAAAGGAAAGAGGCAACAGTAGCCAGAGAAGGTCGGCATCCGGGGGAGGCAGCAGACCAGAGAACGGCCAGTGCCGGCCAGAAATAAATCTGCATAAGAAAGCTGCCAGCAGGCAGCTCAAGGCACCTATGCCACACACCGGCACGGACCCTTCTTAATAAAATACCACAGTTAATGCGACAAGGTCACATAAGATGAAGAGATCACGATAGGAAAAGAGTAAAAAAAGGCACCCCACAGAATGAGAGCCTTTGGAGGAGGCGACGCTGGGAGAGAAGCGGAGATGCAGGGCAGCCTGGCTGGCACTCCGACAAGGAGCTGGAGCGCCAGGCTTGTCCACGCCGCCGGTGCCACCCCCACTCCCACTCCCCTGGTGTTCATTGCACGCCCAGCACTGTCCTAAGGATGTTATACAAATCCGTTCTCCTTGAATCTTCACAACAAATCCAGCCTCCAGGACGGGCAGAAGACGAGACGCCGGCAGCCCTGGTGGATCCGGGCTCACCCCCAGCCAGGTGGCCTCTCCATTTCTCAGTTCCCTCGAACGAGAAACGAGGTCATCATGCCTCCCAGGATGGTTGTGAAGATGAGACATAATGAACTTAAGTGGCTACTCGCAGCTGCTATTAGTGTAATAATCAGATTAAAATAGCCAGGAGTGAGGAGCAGAAGAAAGTTGTAATTGAATAGAAATGGCAGCAGAGACGCCGGCAGGGGAAGCGGCACAGAGCAGCCCTCCTGCGCAGGCTGGTGGCAAGAGCAGAGCCCGCGTGCGGCCGCCACTCGGTGTGTCTGTGGGCAACACGGAAATGCTGAGTTCCAGTTTCCACCTCTCCAAACGGGAGTATTAGTATCTGTCCTTCCTGCCGGGCTGTGGTCTGCGGGGTGGCTCCTGAGTGTATTACCACAAGGAGTTCGTGTGCATGTGCAGGCCCTTCACTCCCGCTCACCCTGTTTCTCAGGTGGAATAAAACACTGGTGATTAAAGATGGCGAAACATCGAGTAGCAGGTGCCTCCTGTGGTCACTAGTAACAGGATCTGGTTAATTCAGTCTGACAGGGAAGGTTGCCTTCCCGCTCACCTCCCCAAGTCACCGTCCACCTGCCTGGCCTTCTGTCCATGGCCAGCCTGGCCATCCCTGAAAACCCTGAAGAAAGCCTCCTTTTCCTGAGGAACGATCGCTGCCTCCCTACACAGCCATCCTTTCTCACTGGCTCACCCTGCTTAGCACTTGGCTTGTTAGGGTCATCGACATGTGCCCCAGCCCTCCCGACAGGCCCTACGCTGCGAGGGTGCAAGGCCATGGCCCTACGGAGCCTGCCTCACCCGCACAGCGCTCCTCCCGGGCAGGTGCGGGAAACACGGCCGAGAGCACTTACATCCTTCCGACCTAGTAACTTTGGAATCATCACGACAGAGGTTGACATATCTTTAGATAAAAAAGTAAAATATAAAGTAAAAACAATGTCAAGCACCACAATCGTAACAAAAGATTGCAGAGCTGCCGGGAGGGCAGGGAGAGAAGACATTCTGAGTCTGCTTTCCAAATGAGAGTTAAAGGCGTTCGAAAAGTGGTTGATTATTTTAAAATATGCATCTTGCCTCCCTGGCCTGTCTCCCCAAACAGCGCTTCCTGGAGAGTCGAAGCCTCAGCCCGAAGCAGGGAGGAGAGTGCGCGTCGCCTCCCGCTCCTCAGCGTCGGGCGCCCGGCAGGGGCCGTGCGGGGCCCCGTCTCCTTCCCGCATCCGGCTGTCCCCGTGCAGCCTCAGCCTGCGCCTCTCCCCCAGGGCGGGTGCTCCCGCCGGCCTCCCGCTGCTTGCAGGTCTGGCCTCGCGGGGGACGGTCGCGCCGGCTAACAGGCAGAGGCTAGCGGCCATCCCTCAGTGTGGGGGCTTCTGCTTGGGCTACTGCCAGGCCGATGCCCACCAAGAACCCAGAGCAGGACACTTCCTCCCTGGCCCTTCCTGACCAGAGCTCTTCCACCGGTCGCCCTGCCCTCGTCGGTGGGGAGGGGACCCCGAGGCAGAGGTCAGCTCCCCCCCGCCCCTCGCCCCCGCCCGGGCCCAGCGCGCTCACCGATCTTGGCCAGGGAGGCGAGCAGGATCCACAGGGTGATCTCGAAGGGGATCTGCACGTGCGGGTAGTCCAGGGTGAACACGG